GGTCGTCGTCCTCGCCTGCGTAGCCGTCGTCGCTCAGTGCGACAAGGCCCCAGTCCACGCCCCTCTTCCCATCGTCTACACCCCTAGACCTGCTTACCACGCCCCTACACCTTACCACGCCCCTGAACCCGCCTACCACGCCCCCGAACCCGCTTACCACGCCCCCGAACCCGCCTATCACGCCCCTGCACACTACGAGCCCGAATACCCTGATGTAAGTATCTATGCGATTAGTAAACTATGAAAACTAGTAGTAAAATCATCATATATGACTTGGTTACATTCCTTCACTTAGATTTTTTTATTATTATTATCATCCATAAACATACAAGATACTAGGAATACACATTCAAATATTCTATTCATTAATCTTCCATCTGTTCAGGTCCCACCCAAGTACAACTACAACTACGGCGTCGCTGACGGTTACTCCGGCGCCAACTTCGGCCACACTGAGTCCCGCGACGGCTACAAGACCGAGGGCAGCTACACCGTCGACCTCCCCGACGGCCGCAAGCAGATCGTCAACTACGTGGACAACGGCGACGGTCTCGTAGCTGAGGTCACCTACGAGGGCGAGGCTCAGTACCCCGAGTACACCCCCACCTACAAGCCCGCTCCCCCCGCCTACGCCCACCCTACCCCCACTTATGCTTAAGAGAGATTCATATAAGGGAATATATTATCAAAAACATATATTCAACAAATTATAATCATTGCCTCATACATGAAATAAAGATCATATTTTTTATCAATCGATTTTTTCTTGAAGTATCATTGTGAGTATATCATTAAAACACACTTGGCACAGGTACAGAAAAAAAATAAACGTATTGATATTCTCGATAAATCTTCATAAACTGGTAGATGATATTTATGTTACGACTGACCAACAAAAACACATATAAGGAATATTACATCACTAAAGGCAAGAAAAAAATATGAAAGTACTCCCTTTGCCTCCTTTGTTACGTGGAAAAAAATAGATAATGTAATCTTAGTTTTCGAAAAGAAAGTTTAAGACATTACTTTAACCTTTAAAATATATATACATAAATATATGCATATATACGGTATATATGTGTGTGTAAGTATATATATATTGTATATATGTATGCGTTTGTATATACTGTGTATATATATAGAGAGAGAGAGATGGAGGGATGGAGAGGTCGATGCTGAGAATTAGCCCAGAGATCTGATGAGGGCGATGTGGATCAGGGAAGAGACAAAAATGGAAGATATACCTTGGAGCATCAAAAAAAAAAGGCAATGGGCATATATATACATATATATGTATGTATGTATATACATATATATAAATATATATAGAGATATATACGTATAAACACACACACATATATGTATATATGTATATATGTACATATATGTGTTTGTATGTGTAATATATATATATAGTATATATATTCATACACACACACATATATATACATATATATAGGTATATATATGTATATATTCATATATATATACAAGTATATATATGTATATATTTATATATATATGTATATATATATATATATATATATATATATATAAACAACGAGGAGTTAGGAAAAAAATGAATATTTCCCTGCCTTTGGTATTATACCATCGGGCATTAACAGTAAGAATTTTATATTATAACTTACATTACATAATATTTTCTCATAAGAGAATTACATGAACGTTTACAGCACAGTTTGATTTTCGAAACACCAGCGTACTCCAGTCTCCAAGCTATCTCATTAAAGTAAATATATTTTTAATCAGCACTCAGGTATCAGTTTCCTATTTAAAAATATAAACTTATCAATAACGATTAATGAAAATAGTCCTGTGCGCTTTATTAAATCGTGGTGGAATATTTGCATACCTGTAATGCAGTGCGATCCCCATAAATGCATTATTGTATATATGACGTATATTCTTAAATGTATATCTACGTATATATATATATATATGTATATATATATATATATATATTATTTCTGGCTCCGCATCATAATTATATAATTTATATATATATATATATATATATATATATATATATATATATATATATATATAATTTAGTTTGATTCCATCTGTTACAATGGATATTCTTGGTGTGACATACTGTCAGTTTTATTTTGCTTCTAAATTATCCCCTGTGTGCAAGGAATAGCCGGGGTTACCATCCACTGGTGGCGAGGGATTCGAACGCAGGTCAACAAGATTGCTAGATGAGATCGCTACCGCTGCACCATACAGCGCACATAATAGACGTATCAGTCTATTTAATTGTTTGCATCTGCAGCTCTTGTTAAAAAAAGAGAAAAATCGCCTGTATTTTCAGATAGATAGCCATATATACACACGCATGCATACATACATGATATATTCGTTTACATAATATTTGTAGTCTTACAGCTGAGTTTGTACGTAGGAATATGTATGTATGTATACGTATGTGCTCGGGATATAGCGTTTGTCTGTGCTAGCTTATATTGTAGATGATTTTATGAATGCATAGCATGTGTATGTATTTATATATATTCATATATATACACATATATAAGCATGTATATATATATTTGTCTATATGTATATATGTATGTATGTACACACGCACACACACACACACATATCTATCTATATATATGCATATATATGTGTATGTATGTATATATATACATACATACACATGTATATGTATGTATATAAATGTATACACAAACATGTGTTTATATGTAAATATGTACATATATGTGTGTCTATAAATACATATATACAACCATACATATAGAGATAGATATAGACAGATACATACACTTTTGCACACACCAACATAAACACACACACACACATAAACATACACACACACACACACACACGCACGCACACAAACACACACACGCACGCATACACACACACTCATATATATACATATACATCAGTACATATCAGTATATATATACATACATATACATATATATCAGTATATATGCATATATATCAGTTCACTTATGTATTTCCTACTGATATATCCATAAAAAATAATTGATGCATACTGATTATCTTAATCAAATATAGAGCCGAATACCAATATCAAAAATTCTACAGAGCATATTCTCTGTCCTGTTGACGATTAGAATAATGCATTTCAAGGGCACGATAATCACCCCCTCAGGCCATGAGAGAAAGGCCTACAGCGGAGACAACGCACGAACGCACGCACGCTTTCGCATATATAAGGGGAAGCGTCAAGCATCAAATATCATTCACCCTCCAACCATGTCTCTCAAGGTACGAGGTCCTGTGAAAAGAAATTCAGACTTTTAGACGGAATTTACGGTGTTGTGTTTACATCAGTGAAAGTTTACTTTACGCACACACGCATATATATGGGAATACATACACATGAAACATACATTTGTTCATATCACAATTTCTAGTTTTGTTTGTTTGTTTTGTTTTCTATATCTAGTAAGCACATTCTATATAGATGTCTTTATGTCTTTCCTTACGACGAGTAACATGCAGCTCTGTCCACAGGTCGTCGTCCTCGCCTGCGTGGCTGTCGTCGCTCTGTGCGACAAGGCCCCAGTCCAAGATCCCCTCCCCCCCGTCTACACCCCTAGACCTGCATATCACGCCCCTGCACCTTACCACGCCCCCGAACCCGCCTACCACGCCCGCGCACACTACGAGCCCGAATACCCCGATGTAAGTAGTTTTGTAATCAGTAATAAATACATACGATAACTTAAAAATTATTGTTTTTTACTATGCTTCAGTTTTACACATTCTACGCCTGTTTGGTAGATTTTCGTGTTCACTTCTATTAGTATGCTCGGTACCAAGAACATATACTGTGAGATTTTAATCCTCAAACTTTCACCTCCACAGGTGCCCCCGAAGTACAACTACAACTACGGTGTCGCCGACGGATACTCCGGCGCCAACTTCGCCGCTTCGGAGTCCCGCGAAGGCTACAAGACCGAGGGCGGCTACACCGTCGACCTCCCCGACGGCCGGAAGCAGATCGTCAAGTATGTGGACAACGGCGACGGTTATGTAGCTGAGGTCACCTACGAGGGCGAGGCTCAGTACCCCGAGTACAAGCCCGCCCCCTACCACGCTGCCCCCCACACCCCTACCTATGCTTAAGAGAGGATGATATAATGGAATATGTATCAGGGATATATATTCGACGAATTATATGTTTCATATATGAAATAAAAATCATATTTTCTTATAAAACTGGAAATGTTACTCATCCGTCGCACACACAGAAAAAAAAAAGTCTGGAGGAACTGAATTGAAGTCAGCATCAGATTAACTAATTGATATTCACCAAATATGTTCTGGCTGATTACATAATGGAATTCATGGCAAAGAAAAAGTGCATATATATATATAAAAAAAAAGACATCAATACCGCAACTATATATTCTATTGATACAAGTTTGACAATTTCGCTTCTTCATTTTCACTGTGATTTTATTTGTATAGGAAACTGAACTTTTTCCGTTTTGAAATCAGAATGAACATATCCGTGTGTTTTTAGAATAATTATAAATCCACATCCAGGAACAGACATCTAGAGATCAGGATTTTGATTAACTGCCATCCAACATATCACATAATGAAAGGTCACTGTTTCAACTTTTACACTATGGAATACACCAAGATTTTTTTTTTTTTCAACGATAAATATACCACTATATCTTAAGCGTAATCAATGGAATACACCAAGATTTTTTTTTTTAACGATATATATACCACTATATCTTAAGCGTAATCAAAGCAACATAGAACTATATAGGGTATATTAATTAGAATATTCTATATTAAAGATGTATTTCCAAGTCTAACAAGCATTTGGAAAATTGTGCTCTTTGTATTAATTATTTAAATAAAGTCAGCAGTAGATAGTTTAAAAATCATTAAGCAAATATTTTATCATACTTGTATTTTTATATTTAATACTTCAGTAACCAAGAAATTGCTCTCTTTTGTTAATCTTTATCTTGTTTGAAAGCGATTTATATATGTGTTTATATATATATGCGTATATATGTGTGCATATATATGTATATTTATATTTGTCTATATGTATATATGTATGTATATGTGTGCATACACATACACACACACACATATATATACTTACATGCATATATATGTATGTGTGTATATAAACGTATACACAAACATGTGTGTATATGTATAAATGAACATATGTGTGTACACATAAATGCTTATATACAACTACATTTAGAGATAGATACACATACTTTTTCACACACAAACAAACACACACACACACAAACACACATATATATACATATATATCAGTTCACTCATGTAGCTATAATCTTGCTACTGACACACACAAAAAAATAATTTACGTATATTATATGAATGAAATATAGAGCCTAATAGCAGTAGATAGTTTGAAAATCATTAAGCAAATATGTTATTATACTTGCATGCTTATACTTAATACTTCAGTAACCAGAAAATTGCTCTCTTTTGTTAATCTTTATCTTGTTTGAAAGCGATTTATATATGCGTGTGTATATATATATATATATATATATATATATATATATATATATTTACATATGTGTGCATATATATGTATATACATATTTGTTTATATGTATATATGCATGTATGTATATGTTTGTGTCTGTGTATACACACACACACACACACATATATATACTTACATGCACATATATGTATGTGTGTATATAAATGTATACACAAACATGTGTATATATGTATATATGAACATATATATGTGTGAATACTTAGATAGACATACACTTTTGCACACACAAACACACATATATAGAAATACATATATATCAGTTCACTTATGTAGCTATAATCTTGCTACTGACGCACACATAAAAAAATAATTGTCGTATATTATCTGAATAAAGTATAGAGCCTAATAGCAATATCAAAAATTCTACAGAGATTATTCACTGCCCTGTAATGCATTTCAAGGGCACTATAATCAGCCCCTCAGGTCATGAGAGAAAGGCCTACAGCGGAGACAACGCACGAACGAACGCACACTGTCGCATATATAAGGGGAAGCGTCAAGCACCAATTATCATTCAGTCTCCAACCATGTCTCTCAAGGTACGAAGTCCTCCTGTGAAAAGAAATTCAGATCTTTAGACGGAATTTGCGGTGTTGTGTTTACAACAGTGAAAGTTTACTTTACGCACACACACACAGACATATATGGGAATGCATACACATATATGAAACATGTATATAAATGCATATATTGGCCCTCAAGCATGTGCTTATCCGACCGATAATACATTTGTTCTTATCACAATTTATAGTTTTTCTCTGCATCTAGTAAGCCAATTCTATATTCTATACAAGATGTCTTTGTCTTTCCTTACAAGTAACATGCAGCTCTGTCCACAGGTCGTCGTCCTCGCCTGCGTGGCTACCGTCGCTCTGTGCGACAAGGCCCCAGTCCAAGATCCCCTCCCCCCCGTCTACACCCCTAGACCTGCATATCACGCCCCTGCACCTTACCACGCCCCCGAACCCGCTTACCACGCCCGCGCACACTACGAGCCCGAATACCCCGATGTAAGTAGTTTTGTAATCAGTAATAAATACATACGATAACTTAAAAATTATTGTATTTTTACTGTGCTCCAGTTTTACACATTCTACGCCTGTTTGGTAGATTTTCGTGTTCACTTCTATTAGTATGCTCGGTACCAGGAACATATACTGTGAGATTTTAATCCTCAAACTTTCACCTCCACAGGTGCCCCCGAAGTACAACTACAACTACGGTGTCGCCGACGGATACTCCGGCGCCAACTTCGCCGCTTCGGAGTCCCGCGAAGGCTACAAGACCGAGGGCGGCTACACCGTCGACCTCCCCGACGGCCGCAAGCAGATCGTCAAGTATGTGGACAACGGCGACGGTTATGTAGCTGAGGTCACCTACGAGGGTGAGGCTCAGTACCCCGAGTACAAGCCCACCTACAAGCCCGCTCCCTACCACGCTGCCCCCCACACCCCTACCTATGCTTAAGTGAGGATGATATAAAGGAATATGTATCAGGGATATATATTCGACGAATTATATTTTTCATATATGAAATAAAGATCCTATTTTCTTATCAATCTGGAAATGTTATTCATCCGTCGCACACACAAAAAAGAAGAAAAAAAATACTACAGAACCGAATTGAAGTCAGCATCAGATTAACTAATTAATATTTACCAAATATGTTCTGGTTGATTGCATAATGAAATTCATGGCAAAGAAAAAGTGCATACATATAAAAAAAAAGACATCAATCCCGCAACTATACATTCCATTGATACAAGTTTGACAATTTTGCAGAGTGCTGTTAACGGCTTCTTCATTTTCACTGTGATATTAAGTGTAGAAGAAACTCAACTTTTTCCGTTTTGAAATCAGAATGAACATATCCGTGTTTTTTTTAGAATAATTATAAATCCACATCCAGGAACAGACATCTAGAGATCAGGATTTATATTAACTGTCATCCAAGACATCATCGTACTTTTACACAATAGAATACACCGAGAACATTTTTTTTCAACAATAAATATACCATTATATCTTATGTGTAATCAAAACTGAAGTACATAGGGTTTATTAATGAGAATATCATCTATTACATAAAAGAAGTATGTCCAAATATAACGAGCATTTGGAAAATTGTGCTATTTGTATCAGTTACTTAAATAAAGTCAGCAGTAGATAGTTTGAAAATCATTGAGGAAATATCTTATTATACTTGCATGTTTATACTTAATACTTCAGTAACCAGGAAATTGCTCTCTTTTGTAAATTAATGTTGTTTGAAAGCGATTTATATGTGTTTATATATATCTACATATATGTGTGCATATATATGTATATGTATATTTGTCTGTATGTATATATGTATGTATGTATATGTGTGTGTGTGCATACACACACACACACACATATATATACATATATATAAATATATATACACTTACATGCATATATATGCATGTGTGTATAAAAACGTATACACAAACATATGTATATATGTATATATGAACATATACATGTGTGTATACATAAATGCTTATACACAACCGCATATAGAGATAGATAGACATACACTTTAGCACACACAAACACGTACATGTATATACATATATATCAGTTCACTTATGTAGCTATAATCATGATACTTACACACGCTTAACAAAATATTTGTCGTATATTATCTGAATAAAATATAGAGCCTAATAGCAGTAGATAGTTTGAAAACCATGAAGCAAATGTGTTATTATACTTGCATGTTTATACTTAATACTTCAGTAACCAGGAAATTGCTCTCTTTTGTTAATCTTTATCTTGTTTGAAAGCGATTTATATATGTGTTTATATATATATATGTATATATATATATATATATTTACGTATATATGTGCATATATATATATATATATATATATATATATATATTTGTCTATGTGTATAAATGTATGTATGTATATGTTTGTGTGTGTGCATACACACACACATATATATATACTTACATGCATATATATGTATATATATGTATGTGTGTATATAAATGTATACACAAACGTGTGTATATATGTATATATGAACATATATATGTGTATACATAAATGCTTATACACAACCATATATATAGATATAGATAGATATACACTTTTGCACACACAAACACACACACACACACAAACACACATATATACATATATATCAGTTTACTTATGTAGCTATAATCTGGTTACTCACACATAAAAAAATAATTGTCGTATATTATCTGAATAAAGTATAGAGCCTAATAGCAATATCAAAAATTCTACAGAGATTATTCACTGCCCTGTTGACGATTAGAATAATGCATTTCAAGGGCACGATAATCACCCCCTCAGGCCATGAGAGAAAGGCCTACAGCGGAGACAACGCACGAACGCACGCACGCTGTCGCATATATAAGGGGAAGCGTCAAGCATCAAATATCATTCACTCTCCAACCATGTCTCTCAAGGTACGAATTCCTGTGAAAAGAAATTCAGATCTTTAGACGGAATTTGCGGTGTTGTGTTTACAACAGTGAAACATGTATATAAATGCATATATTGGCCCTCAAGCATGTGCTTATCTGACCGATAATACATTTGTTCATATCATAAATTTATAGTTTTTTCTTCTAGTAAGCACATTCTATATTCTATACAAGATGTCTTTCCTTACAACGAGTAACATGCAGCTCTGTCCACAGGTCGTCGTCCTCGCCTGCGTGGCTGTCGTTGCTCTGTGCGACAAGGCCCCAGTCCAAGATCCCCTCCCCCCCGTCTACACCCCTAGACCTGCATATCACGCCCCTGCACCTTACCACGCCCCCGAGCCCGCTTACCACGCCCGCGCACACTACGAGCCCGAATACCCCGATGTAAGTAGTTTGTAATCAGTAATAAATACATACGATAACTTAAAAATTATTATTTTTTACTATGCTTTAGTGTTATACATTTTACGCCTGTTTGGTAGATTTTCGTATTCACTTCTACTAGTATGCTCGGTACCAGGGACATATACTGTGAGATTTTAATCCTCAAAATTTCACCTCCACAGGTGCCCCCGAAGTACAACTACAACTACGATGTCGCCGACGGATACTCCGGCGCCAACTTCGCCGCTTCGGAGTCCCGCGAAGGCTACAAGACCGAGGGCGGCTACACCGTGGACCTCCCCGACGGCCGCAAGCAGATCGTTAAGTACGTGGACAACGGCGACGGTTATGTAGCTGAGGTCACCTACGAGGGCGAGGCTCAGTACCCCGAGTACAAGCCCACCTACAAGCCCGCTCCCTACCACGCTGCCCCCCACACCCCTACCTATGTTTAAGAGCGGATGATATAAAGGAATATATATCACGGATGTATATTCGACGAATTATATTTTTCATATATGAAATAAAGATCTTATTTTCCTATAAATCTAAAAGTGTTACTTATCCGTCAAAAAAAAAAAAAAAAATACAATTTTGCAGTGATGTCAACGGCTTCTTCATTTTTACTTTGATTTTAAGTGTAGAGGAAACTCAAATTTTTTCCATTTTGAAATCAGAATGAACATATTTTGAATATTCAATCCATGTGTTTTTAGAATAATTATAAATTCACATCCAGGAACAGACATCTAGAGATCAGGATTTTAGTTAATTATCATCTATCACATTATATTATGAAAGAATTGCATTCAAAATCAAGACCACTGTGTCAACTTTTACACTAAGGAAATTGTGCTCTTCGTATCAGTTATTTAGATGAGCAAATGTTATTATACTTGAATGATTATACTTAATATTTCAGTAACCAGGAAATTGCTTTCTTTTGTTAATCTTTATTTTGATGAACGTTAACCTTTTTCTTTATTTCAGGTCTTTCTCTCGTCACTAATAGAAAACGAAGCAGAAAGGAAATATCAAACTGACAAAAACAAAAACAGAATCACTCACGTGCATGTGTATGTGTATATAAACATCACACATATATGTGTATGCATGCTTTATATATGTATATACATAGATACATATATATATATATATAAATATATATATGTGTGTGTGTGTGTGTGTGTGTGTGTAAATATATATATATATAAATATGTATATATACATATATAAATGTACATATATATTTAGATACATAAATATATATGTACATATATACACACACATGTGTGTGTGTGTATATATATATAGATATAGATATATCATAAATACATATATACAAGTACATATATACATATATATATATATATATATATATATATAAGCATAAATACATATATACAAGTACATATATATATATATATATATATATATATATATATATAAGCATAAATACATATATATTTATATGCATAAACATATATATATATATATATACATATATATATATATATGTATGTATGTTTAAATATACATATATATATATATATGTGTGTGCGTGGGTGACTGTGTATGTATATGTGTGCATATCTGTGTATATTTCTGTGTATGTCTGTGTGTCGGCTTGTGTGTGTAGTGAGCATCCGTATGAGAATACAAGTAATGTATATACAGATACAGAGCATTACATGCAAATAAACACATACGAAGTGTGAGGATGAGTGATCTTCACACGAGAGAGAAAATACGTTGACAGTTTAATAAAAAGAAAAATGAAAATCGATAATTTCCTCACGATGCTATTCTAAAAGCTTTCTGTATGTTTGGCTCCTCATCATATATATATGTAGAGAGGGGGATTAATTAATAAGTAGAGACGTATAATTAGATAGGTTAATGGAGATAGATAGATAGATACCTAAATAGTGAATAGATGCCTATTTAGAAATTGATGTTTTGTCTTTTCATAAATTTACAAATAAAGAAATGTTTAGTTGCATCCATGTAAGTACAAATTCATGTATTTATGTGATTATGACAATGAAAAAATATTTACTGTCCCATTGAAGTTTAGCATGCATGTTTGGGCCTCGAAAATCCCCTCCTCAGACTATGACAGGCCTACTGAAGAACCAACACATGAATACTGTCGCATACATAAGGGGAAGTGTCAACTACCAATTATTATTCACCCTCTCAAGGTACCAAATCTTCCTGTATAATGAAATTCAGACTTGAAATCTTCCAAGGAATTTAAGAAGTGTTGGATATACAGTAAATATTCAGCCTACATTGTCACGACGCGTCTTTGGGATTTAAGAAAGAAACGGGAGGATAAAAAGTATATTGAGGAATTTATATGGACAACGGCAGTACTCAAAACTATGTTCAAGCTTGCTTTAATTTGTGTATCATTGATTTCAACTAATTTGGTCAGACCCTGTTCAAAGTGCTATAGATGAATAGATTGATATAGAGAGAGATATAGATGTAGATATATTACAATATAAATCACATACTATGTTATGCTTAGCGAGCGAGAACACCAATCTTCGCGCTTGTTTCTGCACCATATAAGCACATACACCAATATTTCTAATATTCCATATTAGAAATAACAAAATCCTCCCGCTGCCTACGCCCCTAAACCTTCCTACCATGCCCCTGCTCCTTACCACGCCCCCGAGCCTGCATAACACGCCCATGTACGCTATGAGCCAGAGTACCTTGATGTATCTGTGTAATCTAAACTTTCACAAAATAAAGGCATCATCATCGACATCGTTGTTGGCTTCTAGTTGTTCATAACCAATATGTTTATTCTAAAGACATGCAAATGAATATATATTGAAATATACTATTCATCAATCTTCTATCCGTTCAGGTCCCCCCGAAGTACAACTACAACTACGGCGTCGACGACGGTTACTCCGGCGCCAACTTCGCCGCCTCGGAGTCCCGCGACGGCTAAAAGACCGAGGGCAGCTACACCGTCGACCTCCCCGACGGCCGCAAGCA